TTCTTGGGGGTAGGAGAAGAAAAGAGAAGACAAGCCACAAAATGAATAACTGCGTAACATGAAAAAGAAACACCAAGAACTGATTCACTGAGAGACCCCTGTCACATCTGGGGTAAAGTTGGTACCAAATAATTTCCCTTCCTTATGAATAATGCTTCTTAGCTTGAAAACATGAAGTATTCCTTCCCCCCCCCCTCTTTCTTTGTAAAGCTGCCCCTCTCCTAGAGGGCCAAGTGTCTGCTTAACTTGCACAGGGCATTGCCTTGGCAATCCAGCAACGGAATGCCATAGCAACTCCCACAATACTGAAACTCCTTGGGGATTCGTGCTTTATTTGTCGTTGGAACAGCCAGGGGGGCTTTTTTTCTGCAGAGGGGTTGCCTGAATTCTGCACACATTCACTCTACTTAAATGCATTTTAATTAACAGTGTACAAACATACTCATTTTGGGTGAACACAGGGAAGTCTATTCATCCAGTGCAGGCCCAATCCTAATCCCATTGAAATCAATGGGAATTTTGCCATCAGTTTCAATGGGAAGAGGAATTGGGTCCTTGCTGCAATTTCCATACACTTTCAGTATATTTTAAACTACATTGGTGACGTGAAGCAGATATTATAGGGACAGGCCCGATATTTGGGGCTTTGTCTTGTATAGGCGTCTATTAACCCCCCACCCTCTCCTCACTACCACCACCACCTCCTGTCTCTATTTTTCACACTTGCTGTCTGGTCACCCTAAACATGATAAAAGTTTCTTTTGGTCTTCTTAACATTTTAGCATGTGCTTGTGAAAAAAATGCAGCTCAGATTGGGGGTCTTATCAGTGCTTTATTTCACAAGGCGTATATTAATGTAATTGTGGGTACTTATTTACCATTTAAGTGCATGGCAATTACTACTTAGTTACAGGGTAACTATATGGTTACTTGTGATGTAAAAAAAATGAAATGTTTCCCTGTGACCTACAAAGTACAATTATATAGAACAACAATGTGTGGAGTTAGCAATTATCGTATAATCCACAAGTCACTTAATTAAAAGGATCAAATGTCTATGATATTTAATTAGATTGAGCAATGACTTTATATAACAAGAAAATTCTAGCAACTTCGCAACACTAAAACTAGGAGAACTAAAGACAAACATGTGGGAAATAAAGACAAACAACTTTTCACCAGGGACCAAATAAACTGAGCGTTTAAGCACAGAGTAGCCCCTTCAGGGCCTGATAACCTCTTCTCAACTGTGCAAGAGAGAAAACAGAATTAACTGACAGCAATGTTTCTTTCTAACTTCCTCAAGCTGAATGTGAAACTCAGAAGAATCTGACTATTTTTTCTTTTCTTTTTTTGCCAATATCCACAGGTTTCCTAAACTGAAATTAAACTACTGTAGTTTATTTTCCACTGATGAACACACAGGCTTAAAAAAAAAACAGGAAAAAACCTTGCCAAATAGACAAGAAAGTTCACATAATATAAGACAGCTGATTAAATATTACTTAGACCTTTAAGTCTTGCTGAGAACACAAGTGGTTGCACCGTTTAAGACCAAGGTAATTCTGACTGCTGAATTGGGACTGGCCAGATAAATTTGGGTCTGATCCTGCAGCTCTTACAGAGATAAAGGACTGAGCATTATGACATCAGGACCACAGTTTGGGCACTGTGGTAATGTGTGTAAAATATGCTTTTTTTATCTATCACGTTTGAGAAAGAATGCAAAGACTTTTAATTGGCTCTTTTATTTTCTGAATATCCCCCGTTACACTGAGGTATAAAAACAGATTATTCAAGTGCAGATTTCTGCATTTTATAGGATGCAAAGCTTAACTTTTCTGAGCACTAAAATATATAGTATAAAAACCTAAAATGTGTTTTTTCTGTATTATGTGTAGCCTAATTTTAAACCTAACAAATATGTTTTATTAGAGATAATCCCTCATTTCTTATATTTTTTCACAGTTCAGATATAAACAGTGATTCATCTTGTTAAGGTGCGTATGTATATAATTACACACACAAAATGCAAAATATCTACCATAATTACAATGACATGTACAGAGAGTATGTGTATGCACTCACACTCACATAACAGAGGCACCGACTTTCTAATGATCCGTGGGGTGCCCGACCTCCACTCTGCCCCAGACCCCGCCTCCACTCCACCCCTTCCCCCAAGGCCCCACCCCACCTTGCCTTTTCCTGACCCCGCCCCTTCCTGCCCCACCCCCACTTCTGCCTGCCCCTTCCTACCCCGTTCTGCTCCCTACCCCGAGCACGCCCTGCCCTCACTCCCCCTCCGGCACCTCCTGCATGCTGCGGAACAGCTGATCATGGGGGGTGGGAGGTGCTGGGAGGGAGGGGAAGGCGCTGATGGGTGGGGAATGCCGGTGGGTGCTCAGCAACCATCATTTTTTCCCTGTTGATGCTCCAGCCCCGGAGTGCTCACCGAGTCAGCGCCTATGCACATACACACAAACACAAACACACAAACAGGCCAATTTTTTTTTTCCAAATATGAGTGCTTTAAATTAAACTCCTAAATTCATATTTAGGCACTCAAATTAAAGTAACCCACTTTGAAGAGATGTTGAGCACCACAAATCCCAGCAAAGTCAATGGGAGCTTCAGGTGTGCAGCACCTCTGAAAATTAAACCAGTTTTATTTAGGTGCCCAAATATGGATTTAGGAGCTTACTTAAAGCACACGGTTTGGAAAATTGGGACCATTAGAGCAATTTATAAATCCCCTGTTTGTTATTCTCATAGTTTTTGGAACATTTCTTCTGAGGCTGACACTTATGTACTTGATTTCTGCATGGAGGTGTGTTGGTCTATTTTTGTTTGGTTTTTGTGTTTAATTTTGAGATAAATCTCTACGGGTTTGATTACCTTGGACCCTGTGTGGTCAGTTCAGAAGGGTAGCACTGTCACCAGCTTTATGAAATAAACACCAGCCATGGTGTTCTACCCTCAACCCTTACCACTCAGTAGTACATTACTCCTTGAGTAGTCTCAGTAACTTCATTAGGATGGTTTGAGCAATGCGCTGCTATTCAGTGTGAGTAAGGATGGCAGAATTTGGATTTAGAGCGTATAGTTTGATAGGATACATTTTCTACTTAAAGTATGTTTTCAATGGTGCTTTCCTCGCTGCAAGTTTTGTTCCCTTGTGTCCTTTCATCAGATTTGGACTCCTTACATTCTACACTAAGAAAAAGTGCTGGCTCGAACAAACAAGCCTAGTGCCCCGACTTATTTTGATTCTTAGTTGTAGATTTGTATAGAGAGATGGGGTTGTTTTGCTTGTGGTTGTGATAAGAAGGCAGTTTGAAAAGTGGGTTTTTTTTTTCATTCTGTGCTTTAGTGATGTTGCTGAATTTATAGCCATTGAAAGTAAGGCCACGCAATTTATGGCACTGCTATAAATGAAGAAAACCTGTCATAAATCAAAGAAAACAGTTACATAAATGAGCATTAAAGTGCAGGGAAATGTCATGAGACAACAATAAAATATCTTCCAAATGGTAAATCCCATGAGCAGAAACAGTGTTAGTTGTGACTCCTCCAAGACTCCAATAATAGGACTATTTTATCAAGGGAGTAATATTTGTCCTGGAGCTTGTCTCCAAACAAAACTGCAAGCACTTTGCTGGAAATTATATACTGTAGGTTGAGAGGAAAAACAAAGAGTTTGTGCACACGTGTGTGCCAAGTACACTCAGAAGCTGGTTTTCAATCCCATTCGTTTTTATTTTGTCTTGATACCACTTCTTTAAACATAGCAAAGGGCTGACTCCCTATACGAACTCTGGGGACTTTTTAAGGTAGTGGTGAGAAATAAACAACTTAAAAATCCAGTGTTTTGCCCTGTCCCCTTATAACACAGAAACGGATGGGACCTGATTCTCCATTTTGTTTGCTGAAAAACAAAAACAAAAAGTTCATTTTTCAATGAAAAACCTAAAATTTTTCACAGGGAAAAAATTCCCATTTCTGAACAGTTCTACACCACAGGTCCCTCATTCAGAGGCAACATGCCATGGAGTGGACAATATGTCCCCTCTTCTGCACCCAGTGCTCCGACAACATAGAGGGGAGTTCTGGGGACAAGGCAAAGACATGCCCAGTGGTTTATTTGGCTACACAGATCCACTGGTCAAATTGCCCCATTAGGGGCACAGGTTTGTAGGTAGTAGAGCACTGAAAGTTATAACAGCTGCTTAATAGCTTTGCTGCCAGTGGAAAAGGATTAAGCCTTGTAAATGGAAACACACACACTCCCAATTACTTCTTGGACTCTATCTTGATATCTAATAACATTTCTATAAATGCTTCCATAGGAGAAGTCAGCATTTAATAACAAAATAAAGAACTGTGGATCAATAGCTTTTTTAGTTGAATTTGTTACAAGGACTGGATGCATCTTAGGTGCTGTACATCTTACAGGTTCTTCACTTTGTAAAGCACTTTGAGATGTGCTGATGAAAAGTACAATATAAGAGTGTATTATCCTCATTATTATGACATCACTAGTAAAAAGATAAGGTTCTGCCACTGATGAATTTACAGTCTAATTTTAAACTTCAAATCACAACTGGAAGTAGCAAACAATTAGAGGGAGAAAGGACGCTGGATTATGAGAATCAAATGCGTCATTACTGCGTAGAAATTAATAGCGGTTTTTAATTTATTTAAAATTAAATCAAGAAAACATAACAAAGAAAAGGCCAAACTTCAGTTACCCGCCTACATGGGACATGGATCCTGTTTTCAGGCCGCTTGGTCCCAATATTGGTGCTCCATATTGCCCTGGTTGTACACTTACCTTGAAGGTCTAGTTAATCTAATCTGAAGAATGTGCGAGCATGCAAGGAGGTGAGGGAGGTGTACACAGGGTACAGCATGTGATCCATTTAAAGAACTACTCTATTAACACAAGGCTTGTGACTGGGTTTAAACATTCCTGCATATTCAAGTAATGCAGAAGCATGAGAGATCCAGTTGTCGGTGAGTGGCACTCAGTGTGAATTTACCCATTGCAAAATGTCCTTGAAGCTGCTTTTCTGTTCCTGGTAAATAGCAGTGAAGGTCAGTGAATCTAATTTGACAATAATGAGCCTGCTCAGCATTGCATTCTAATAGGGTGCCCCCTGCCTTTAAAAAGAGAGAAGAAAAATATATCAGGCAATAAGAAAAGCTACTCAATGACACCACAGAAATCCCTTGAGGCACGGTCTCAAGGAACAGGGTTCTCTTGTTTTCCCTTCCTAATAACAAAGATGACAGAGGTTACAAATGCATTCAGTATTTATTACAACAAATACACGGAGACTGATTGGAATAGCTTAATTAATCACAATTACCCTGAGCAGAATTGTTATTCAGGCTGCAGTTCTGAGCATGAAGGAGACACTTGACCCTTTCGTTTCTGTGCAGGGACAGAAGAAATTCCACGCTAAGTTAATGGAAACTGAGCGGATGAGTGACACGGTGATTCAAATGTACTGTAAACTAACTGAAATGATTCCAGTGTCGGAGGAATGCAACGCGCTGCTTTTAGGATTATTAGCCCTGGCTGTGTTTTTACAATATTTGGTCAAACACCTCAAAGACATGTCACTGAGAGATTTCATATTTCAGGGAAGAAGGTTATTTTTTTTCTTTAAAACGAAGGGGCAATAAAAAGGTTGGAACTGTACTTCTGGGGGATAATAGGGTCAGTATCTCAAACCTTTGCCGCAAAGTCCCAGCTGCATGTTGTAAGCACTGATGGTTGTCAGTGTGATATTCTGATTGTCAGATGGTGATTCTGGATCTAGCCTGCTCTGTCACCGTCTCTCTCAGTCGGGGAGGGGACAGAGGGATGGTGAAGGACAGTTTATGAAATTCCAATTGTCTGAAGCACTAGAAACCCTTGTCAGTCATGACTGGTTTATTGGCTGAGCTCACCTGCAGGGGGGCTGCATTTGATCGCCTCTGCCCTAATTAGTGTCACTGCAGTCAAATGCAATTTATGTTTAAACATACGTGGAGGATATGAAGATAATCCCAGCAATCGCCACTAAACAACATCAAAAAGCCTGGACTTCAAAGCCTGCTGGAAAATAATAATATCTCCGTTTTAGAGCTGCCTATCAATCTGCTAAGGGACGCTATTTCCTGATCAAAATGAGAACAGCAATATTCAAAGCGCCACCGTGTCAGCTGGACCCATTTTGACTCTGTCACACTGAACAAAGCCTTAGGGTTAGTTTTTAAAATAAGAAAATAGGTGTGTCAATATCTATTCAATTGCCCACTTATTGTGCGCACAAAACTACTATTTTGCATGCAAGTTGAGTTGTTCCACGTGCAAGCGGAAAGTTCAGCGCATTTGTGAAAGCTGTCGTGGAAACTGCACACAAATTAGCTGGGTGAATGCAGACCTAGCTTTAAAATAAAGTGATTAAGAGTTTGGGTTTGGTTTGGATTGACACCAACAAGTTTGGATTGCTTATCCAACCCACTTTGTCCTCTTGGGTTTGTAAATCTGGGCTATGAGTATCCCACAAAAGAAGGGACTTCATAAGATTTTCAGCATTGCCAATTCCAAGCATGCAAAAATTGTGAGTCATGCTCCAAAGAATCATAAGGATTAGCTTAAAACTCACGAGACTTTTAAAGAAAATTATATTGAGCTCTTTTTCTTTGCTTTCTGTTTTTAGCCTTTAGAGTTCACTCACTCCACATTATCAAGCTTTTCTCCTCCAACACCAGGGCTAGAAACTTGTTTGTATTCTTTAAATGACAGCCAAGAGTCTTGTGTAATCCCATGAGTTTGGGAACTCATAATAATATTGCAAGAGTTGGCACTACTGAAATGTTCAGAGCTGTGCACAAATAAAAACAAAGGGTGTGTGTGGTGGTAGATAGAGTTCTCATTTATATCTTCCCATGCCTAGAATGAGTATTTGGAAGGGTGGGCACATGCCATCCTCCTCCTGAAAAATGGGATAAACTTAGAGCACGGTAAGAGTTTGAACTCCTTGAGTGCAAAGGGAAGGAAACCTCATGAGGGGAAGAGTCAGTGACTGTACAGAGCTATATGAAGAGGGCAGATCCATAGGAAACAGAGAGGTTGTTCTCTAACTCCACAGAACACCTACTCCTCCACCCAACTGGAGGATGAGATGGAGGTCATGGGGGTTGGACTAGATGACCTCCTGAGGTCCCTTCCAACCCGGATATTCTATGGTTCTATGAACTGCTTGGCTCCCTTTCTCATCTGAATGGAATATAGCTTCCCATCTCCTGCCAGCCCTCCCTCCCTGCAAGGCATTGAGAAGGCCTGGAGGGACTTTACTGATGATTCCAGCAGCATTAGCATCCAGCTGAAGACCTGCAGCACCAGTTTCAGTAATTTGGGACTAAGGGCTTGCTTACACAATGTGCAGCAATGCACATCACCTGAGTGTAAACTGCAGATTACTCTAAAGTGTTGCATTCTAACTGTCCTGCTGACATGCTCTAAAGGGACCAAGTGTGCATCAATGTAGTCCCACTTGAAACTGTACTGCATTAATTCACACTAAGAACCTTTTTGAGCATGTCAGCAGGGTCTACACAGGACAGTCAGAGCACAAGCAGTCAGCCGCAGAAGCTGGGAGACATTTTTGGGTGACTTTTCTAGTTGGATCAGAACTTAGTTAAAATACAGCATTTCTGTCTCACTGAGAAATACAGAAGTGGCATCTTGTAAAGTGGGCAGATGTTCCTAAGCACATGAGATAAGATCAGTTAATCAGAAACAAAAGATAATTATTTCCACCCACAAACATATTGCTGCTCAGGAAGCAGGTATCTTTCCGCAGGCTAACATATTGTGCTCCAGAATCTAAGATATAATTTAAAAATATCTAGCCCATCTGATTGTAAAGTTACATTTAAAATTTTGAACAAGTGTAAAACAGTAGAGTGATCTCTGCTTGAGTCTCTAGAGAGAGAGTCTAAAAATATAATTCTGAGAGGTGTGAACTGCCCTGTTCATCAATGCATGTTAGATCTACAGTCTAAATATGGTAATTAAACATCAAAATTGTTAACAATTTCCCTGCCAAAGCATTCAAAAAAGTAGAGAAAATATTAGAGCTGGTTGGAAAATATTCTACCAAAGTTTTTGCATCAGAATATGCCAGTTTGTCAAAAACAAAACATTTCATGGAAACATATCGATTTTGATTAAATGTTTTATGAGAAGGTTTCAGAAGTCCATAGTGCACTCTTGTCAATTTGAGAGAGAAAGAGAGAGAGAGACCTAAATAAAAAATTAAAACCTGATGTTTTCAATCCAAAAACTGACATTTCAACAACTTTCTTTCACTTTCTAAAGAGACAATTTTGAAAAGTTTAATTTTCCTTCCAACACAGAATAAAAACAGACTTGAAACCTCAAAAGTTTTCGTGAAATGGAATTGTCATTTTCTGGCCAGCTCTAGAGATGGTCATATCATGAACAGTTACGCAACTGACTGTGAATAGTGTCTTGATTTGGCAACTCATTTTTGACCAAATACTTGGTTTGTAGGCTGAGCTTAGCATTATATATATATATATATATTTTCCCCCCATTTTGAGTCCAATAGGTATCATGTGACTTGGCCTACTGTGTTCCCAACAAACTAGGTTTGTTCACAAAATGTATCACGAAGAGAACTGTTACGTTGCCCTCTCCCCACACATTACATTATTTGGGAAAACAAGACAATATTCAACAAATAATTTTTGACTGTTTTCTGTGTCACAAACATCAGCTGGAAAAGGTTTGTGTCTATCTAGGCAGAGGGTGACAAAAGGGAAGAGGAGAAGAAATTAACATCCTACAGACAATTTAGACACGAAGAAAATACAAGTACCGCTGAAGTTTTTCAGATGTTCCCCCAAATCAAACCAAATTTTAGTTAATAATGCAGGTTTTTAGAGTACATCCCTATACAAAATTAACCACGCTTTTGGTGGCAATATGCTGTCTTACTGTACATGAGCCCTTTCACACACTTAAAATTTGTCCTTTCCGCTACGCTTACTCCAATGCTTTAAACTGAATACTAATTGCCACTGGAGATTTATTCTTAACTAAACTGCTGAATTTAGAAAGCGGGTTCAATGCTTCTTTGGCTTAGTCTGATGTGCTTCTTCCTTATAACAATTGCAGGTGTTTGCCCTATAGTAGTCTAATCCTCTTGAATGGGAGCAGAAATCAATCTGCAGACACCATGCTCTTGAATCTGCTGTCCGCTACTTGGACTTACAGAAACAAATTGGTTTACATTACCCTCGACTATATATTAAGGGCAAATCTCTTCGACAATGCGCAGACAAATATCCAGAATAGACTAAAACAACAACATTTGCATCAATTAGAGAAATTCGGTGTCCAAAACACCAGATGACAAGTTGTCCATGGCTATACAGTACTCAGATTCTTGTGCTATTTAGAGTTGTGGCTATCTCATCTGGGAAATAGTGGCACAGTCCTTATTTAAATGAAACTCTTTGTAAGTCAAACATATACTGAGCCACATTCTTCCCCTCTCGCTTTCCTTTATACTTACTAACAGTGTACGATTGATATATCAAATTTTTCTTTTTACAGTATCCTATCTTTCTCTTTTTAATGTTCACTTTACATCAGATGACAGTTTTAGTGATTCCTCCTTTATTTGCATGTCCCCTTGAAGAAGCTTCATTTCTCCTTCTAATCAAGTCATTAATTTTCATGAAAATCATTCCCACCCTAAAATGGCTAGATTCTAATTTGTCTTTGTCACACAGATGACAAATATCACCTTTCTGCCATGCTGCAATATACTTATATACTTCACATACCTGGATTTTAGTATGAAAAGGGTTAAGATTATTTTTCCATAGCTATAACTGTTTTTCCCTCTGGCAGTGTGATTCAGTCATGATCCTTCTTCAGCATATTTTGTAGTGATTTCACACAGTAGCTTTGCCTTTTATTTTAAGACAGAATTTGTTGGTGATAACAGGAATGGTGATAAGCATGCCAAAATCACTTCGCTTTAAATTAAAAAAATCTCCTCTGCATTCTGTTTACAAACGTTGCTACCCAGGCCACTTTATCTCCCCACAGTGGGTACCATGTCTTTCACAAAAGTGTACTGCCTTCTGTAGCATTGTCCACACAAGGAGTTTCAAGTGCTTTTCTCAAAAAAGAGAACAGACTTGTCAGTCCATGGAATAGTTTACTTATGCTCATCTGAAGCCTCATCTGGATTTTTGTTTTAAAAATGTGCCTTTCCCTCCTGCAACTTCGTTTTCTTTTCTTTTTTTCATTTCAAATTCCACAAAGTCGGTTGGGCAGCAATCAGAAGAAATATCGGAAAAGGCAGAGTGAACTGAAATGAAGTCTAACTGTACGAAATAACGGTATGTTGTACAATTTTCAACTAATTTCATATGGCATCTGCTTAAAATCCGAGGGCTGTTTGCTAGTGCTTAAACAAAAGGGCTGGAACTCAGACTGATGCCTGGTAATGTAACAGCAAGTTCAGGGTCAGGCTTTGGGTTCCATCAAAATTTGTACTCTGGTGACTAGAGATACATGTACAGCATCATTATACAAGGCGCTAAATGTCAAATAGTGCTACTGAATGCTTGACAGATTACTAATGGCTATACATTTAATACACCATGCAGCCTATCTACAGCTATTTCTATATCTACACAGTTCTAGCTATCAGTGTGTATTGATTCAGTATCACAAAATTAATTCTTGTACTACCCTCAATAGTATTACTGATGCACTGATGTTTTCAACTTCCAAACGATGCAAGCAAACTCCAGAAAGAAAGTTATGCTCTTTGCTTTATTATGTAACTTTATTCTTCAGTTTCCATTCCATATTATTCCATACCATATAGTGGGCCAGATCCTCAACTAGCGTAAGGCAATTTAGGAACTGTGCTGATTTATACCCACTGAGGCTTTGGCTTCTTATATATAGTATGACAAAGCCATGATGGGCTGCCAATATTTTCACAAGGGAACTCCCTGCTTAGCCTCCAAGAAACTCTTTGTCCCAAGAATGTGTGCATTTTCTGGGAGAAGTGGTGAGGGGCTATCCATTTATTTTCTCAATTAAACTCAACTGCTTTCTTATAAATCAGAACTAAGAAGGGAAAAGCCCACACCATGTGGCCAACACACTTATATTACATTCAATTCATTGGACAGATATATATTTTGGAAAACAGAGAGTTAGCATAGTGTTCAGCTCACGTAATTCATGAGACTTAGAAAGAGGGCCAAATTTTAAAAGTGCCTGAAGATGGAGACAGGCATCTAGCGGGATTTTCAAAACTGCCTCGGGGCTTAACTACCATTGATTTCAGTGGGAGTTAGGCACCTAGTCACTTCTGAAAACCTTACTAGGCCTAAAAACCTCTAAAACTCTGGCTCAGAGATGCTTGTAAGGAGGCCTCGGCAAGGCCAGAATAAGGCAAACGTAGGCCAGTGCTGAGGGCTCCAGCTCCTGGACTCATATGATTACATCAGAAAGTCTGCTTTTATTTAAATACAAATCCCTAGCTTTCCTGATTCCAAAGAAAAGCTTGAAATGTGACCCAAGTGTAGCGGATTCATGCAGGGACATCTGCCTGAGTCTGCTGACAGCCAGAGAGTAATGAGCTGCACCATGCATCTAAATGGAGTGTCAGCTCCAGGATCCATTGCTTTGGGGGCCCTACTAACACCACCTCAGCAGAGGACTCTGTGGGCAGCAGAACAAGAAGAATACAGCAAATCCACCCTATCTTTCTAAACACAGGTACTACGGGGCCAGCCTGATGCCACCTTTGCCTCTTCAGAGGGGAAAGGGGCCCCCTGCTGTCATTGTGTTCTGTGTGCAGGGAGTTGAGGGCCCCATTCCACAGTCGTGGCCAACACCACTGCCAAGGGTGTTTGTGAGAAACTCCAGGTCAGACTGTGCTTAGGGCCCCAGTTTGATTTAATTCTGCCCTGGATTATCCTATCATGGATTTGTTTGAAAATTACTTGACACTTGAGTAATGTGATATATTCTCAAAGCAAGCTTAACCTTACGTTGTGTTTTTATGATTCCCAATGACAAAGCCATCCGAGGTAGGGTTGATACTATAGCCGTGACTGAGGACATGTCCTCTATTAGAAGCAGGAATACACATCCCCCCCACCCCTCTCTTCAATGTGATGGCAGATTTTTAATGAGGGGCTGCCAGGAGACATCTCCATTACATTACTACAATAAAGTCAACTTCTAAAACAAGAAGGTCAATGTTAGGGAAAGCGATGCTTGCAAAGTTCCTCACATGGAGCCTGGCCATTTGTATAAATGATGCTCTATGCTGGAAAATGTAAAACAGCAAATTAAAATCCTTTACTCAATGTATTTGTCTTAGGTACTTCTCTGCCCCATTCCTGTAGTATTTGAGCACCTCATAAGCTTTTTGTGTTTATCTTCATAACATCCCTGTAATGTATTATCCCCATTTTACAGATGAGGCACAAAGAGGCTAAGTGACTTGCCCAAGGCCACACAGGAAGTTTGCAGCAAAGCAGAGGCTTGAAGTGAGGTCTCCCAAATCCCAGACTAGTGCTCTAACCATGGGATAACCCAACCTATTTACTTACTTATTTACTTACAAGGCAAATGATAGGTGGGATCAGGGGTTACACAGCTCGATGCTCTTATACCACAAAAGGCTGCCTGAATATTAAGCAGTATGAATATAAATGTGCATTGAAAGAGCTTATTGTTTAAATGATTAAATCAAAGTGCCTTTGTAGTTTGCCATTTACATTCTTAATATCTGTTAAGACTATGCATCAAACTCACTGTTAATGGACATAGGCCAATATTTTTTAAATTGGGTACCTGAAATTAGCACTTACATATCTACATTTAGCTTATCGTATAGTGGATTTCAGTACCTAAAATATGGAAAAAATGGAAATTTTGGCCATGCCAATGCTAATGCTAATGTTTCACAGAGTCTGGGATCCCTCTTGATTTTAAGACCAATGATCTAATTCCTGGTCAACTCATTTCCCTTTCTTCCTAAAGTTTCAGGAGCCCCACCAAATAACATTTCCTTAAGGAAGCAGAGCTACAAGTCCAGCAGTAACTATTATCAGGATGCAAGGTGCCAGATCCTAATGAAAAATGAATCCCAGCTCAATTACATCGAATAAATCAAACCTTTATCTTCTTTTTCTTGAGTTGCTGTTGCCTTAGCAGTTGACCCCTTGAGAATTGCCCAGGAGTTTTGGTTTCCATTTTTGCCTACGATATTCGAAACCGCCTCAGAGACTGCTAGAGAAAATTATATGAAATTAAAAGTGGTATTATTCAGCTAGCATCAGAAGTCCTTCTAAATTACTTTACTGTTCGCTCAATAGGGAATTTCCGCTAATAGACTTGGATTATATATTACTCTTGTACCCACAGTCACGGTATAGACACAGCATCACATTGAACACAGTGTTTCAAGGTACAGCACTACTTAAAGGTTCAAACATCAGGGCCTCGCCCTCAAGGTCCTTTGTAACTGCACCTCCCCTTACTAATTCAACCTGATCATGTTTCCCACTACCCTGTCTCAACTCTGCCAATGACTCCTGCCCCAATACTCTGTTCTTCCAGAATAGTCTTCATCCATGAGGTGACCAATTCTTCATTCAAGTCCCGGCTTACAACCCACCTCATGCCCCAAACCTACAAGATATTAGTCAACTCAGACATTTATTTGTTAAAAAAACAAAACCACTCCTCTCTACCAAGATGTGCAGTAGACCATTCTGGGTATTGACCTGATTCTACGCTATTCAAATCAATGGAAGCATGGCATTACGTACAATGAGTATAAACTCAAGCCCCAAAGCCTCAGTTCAGCTAAACAATTAACTTTAAGCACATGCCTAAATGATTTGTTGAAGAGGAATGAACCATTTAACTGTGGCCTAACTGCATTATCTTGTTGATATTATACATATTCTTCCACTTTGTTACCTCTTTCTTACCTAGAATCTGATATTAGCTTTTAAGTAGAGCTGGTAAAAATTTTTCCAATGGTGAAATTTTGATGATTTTTTTTAATTAAAAAAAAAAAGACAAAGTAAGAAAATATTTTTCTGAAATGGTCACTGGGTTATTTTAAGAAAAGCAGTAGAGCTGGTCAAAATTAGTTTTGAAGTTACAATAAAATTTCAAATTTTGTAATTCAGAAAAAAAATTCTGAGCAAGTTCTCATAACATTCCTCGTCTCCATTTTTTTCCAACTCTGCTTGTAAGCTGATCTGGTCATAGATCAGATCCTGAATCTGTATTGTGAGGTTCCCAAAATGCTTTTTGGTGCTTGTTCTAAGAATTATAATTACGATTTTTTAAATTGGCCTGAAGCAAAACTTCAGAACAGAACATCCTTGAATGCAAGGAAAGTAAAGATCCAGAACTGGCTCCAAATGCTGTGGGTAGCCATTCTCTTTATGATTGTTCCCACTTTTTTCACTGGAAAATGGGAAAAGAAAAAAACAAAATCTGAAAACTTTTTCAGTTTTCATTTTGTTGAAATTCTAAAAAAAATAATTAAAAAATCAAAAAATGTCAATGTTCTATTCTTCTTTTGCTGAAAATATGTAGTATTTTTCAACCAGCTCTATGCCCTTGTCTGTCAATATCTTAGCTGATTTTTTATTACATGAATACATTGTTGCATTGAGTTTTCTTCCGCATCAGACATGCAGAAGCCTCTTGAGTTCTCTTCAGACCGGTTTTGTGGTCAGTCCAAGGAAAACCCCACTTTTCTGCATTGACAATGAAAACTTTGATATGCTAAGTTTTATTATCATCATCTTTGTTCGTGTCTGAGTTCCTCTTTGCCACTCTTTCATTATTCCACAGTACTAATGCACTACAAGTTTAAGTTTCGTGTGCGTTCCTGTTTCATTTTGTCACTAATTCTCCTTCAAGATTCCTGTGCCCTCCGACAGCTGGCTGTATTTATTTGTCTTCTTCAACCATTCTCCTCTTTTGGGGGGGTGGATTGAGATTGATCACTCTCATCATGGCATTTGAAGATTCAAACTGTGCACTATCACCAGAAGCAGCAGGGAAGATGAAACAACAGCAGCTTTTCAGACATCGACAGGGGTAGATTCAGGAGCTCTCAGCCTGAGCAGACTACCCTTTTCCAAGAATTCTACACAGACTCTACGCACCACCCATTAACAGAATAGGTCTCCTTGATTGCAGTCCCTCTGGGTTCAACTAAAAGTGAACTCTCAAAGAAAAATTCAGCAGCACCTCAGCTACACATGATGAAAACAACGCACAATGTTTGCATGGTTTCTACCACAGACCAAAAACTGCACAAGTCTGTGCATATTTCATG